ACTGAGACCGCCCCTGTCAACACTGACACCAAGACTGAGACCGCTCCCACCGGTACTGAGACTGCTCCCGTTAACACCAAGACCAAGACTGAGACCGCTCCTACTGGTACTGAGACCGAGACTGCTCCTGTCAACACCAAGACCAAGACTGAGGGTGTTTCCACCACTGAGGGATCCCACGGTACCCAGACCACTGAGGCTACCGTCCCTTACACCACCAAGACTGTCTACACCACTGCTGTCCACACCTACTCCAAGTGCCCTGACTACGTCAAGGACTGCCCTTACGGAACTCACGGTCCTTACACCGTCACTGAGACTGTTGCTGTCTCCACCACTGTCTGCCCTGTGACTGAGGAGCACCCCAAGCCTACTGGTTACACCACCAAGACCGTCTACTCGACTGAGGTCTACACCATCTCCAAGTGCCCTCCTTCCGTCAAGGACTGCCCTTACGGATCCGTCACCACCAAGAGCTACCCCGTCTCTACCACCGTCTGCCCCATCACCGAGGAGCACTCTAAGCCAACCGGCTACGCTCCTCCTGAGTACACCACCAAGACTGTCTACTCCACCAAGGTCTACACTGTCACCAAGTGCGGCCCTGAGGTCAAGGACTGCCCTTACGGTTCCGTCACCACTGAGACTGTCCCTGTCTCCACCACCGTCTGCCCTGTCACTGAGGAGCACCCCGCCAAGCCCACTGGCTATGCTCCTCCTGCCCACAGCACTCTCTACACCACCAAGACCGCCTACCTCACCAAGGTCTACACTGTTACCAAGTGCGGTCCTGAGGTCCCCAACTGCCCTTACGGCTCTGTCACCACCGAGACCGTCCAGCAGACCACTGTCTACGCCACTGGTACCAAGGAGATTCCTTCTTACCCTACCGTTGTCGTTCCCAAGCCTGAGCAGCCTGAGCACCCCGCCCAGCCTGAGTACCCTGCTCCTAAGCCCGAGCACCCCGAGACTCCTGCCCAGCCTGAGCACCCCGCTAAGCCTGAGCAGCCCGAGACTCCCTCCAAGCCTGAGCACCCTGCTTACCCTGCTCCTCCTGCTAAGACTGAGACCTACAAGGCTCCTGAGCCCAGCCAGCCTTCTGCCACTCTCCCCTACCACGCCCCCACTGGCACTGCCCCCGCTGTCGAGGTCACTGCCGGTGCTTCCCGCTTCGGTGTCGAGATGGCCGTCGCTGCCGCCGGTATCTTTGCCGTTCTTCTGTAAATGCATCATGGAACATAAAACTTTCCCCTTGCTGTTTATTTATTACAAACATAATAAGCTTCACTATGTACATAGTATGATTTAGACGATCTTGGCTCGGCCAAGTAGTGGTAGAAAGAATGGTTACGATTTTTGGATAATATTGTGTAATTTTGTTGAAGATACCACATCATCAATTATAGACATATCTTAATAAGTCTTCGGTCCTTGTGATAATGAAAATGCATTTTCACTTGAATTCGAACAACTGACTGACTGCTTCAAGTCCAAGTCCAAGTCCTTCCCTCGAAGATCAACAGCCCAGCCGTTTATCACATGAGACCACTTGATCCTTTGTCGTCACTAGTGTCTCCATGTGATACCAGTTTTGTAAACTCTATATCCTTCGATTCATCATGTGGAACAGCGCTAGAACAAAGAGGAGGGGGTGAGCAAAACAAATTAGGGGACCGTTTCAACCGGATCGTTGGGAACAGAAACAGGGCGGGATTTTTCCCGAAAGTCAAAAAGCCTTGTGGCCGTTGAGGAGAAAAAGGGGAGACATGTCTCTGCTCTGGAATGCGGAAGCAGATAGTGGCGTGTGGAAGGGTTCTAGAAGATAGGCGTGTTTTGAATGGAAATGTGGCTTTTAGTTGCGGAGTGAGAGAATATCGGTGAGGATGGTAAAGAATGAAAATTACAAAGGGTGAATGATACTGAGTTCAGACACAGAGCCAGAGGATTGTTTGGACTGTTGTCAAGTTCTTTGAAGGGCATAGAATTTACAGGGGTGTGTGATAGAAACATTCGGAGGTTGAAGAATAGCCGTGATTGGCTCTTCAGAATGAGACAAAGGGAAGCAAACGACTCCTTGAGCGAGATCCATGAGTCGTCTGAGAATGTCTCATCGCTCAATCCTCCCTTTGTCCCGTTACACCCGCAAGATTTCGGACGATGACATAGTGTCTACGTACCAGTCACAAGGTGGGTGTGGTGTCGTCGATGGCTTCAAGGTTTCAACAGTCAGCCATGAAAGAAACGGTGTCGTGGCTACAAACAACCAACCGATTTTACCGCTAAAGTTGATAAATGGCAGCTGTCTTTATGGCGGGGTAGATAGGTCTCTTTTTCGAGGTCGGATGACTTATAGAGATGTCGAGCGCGGCTGTTTCAACTAATGAGGCGGCGAATGCAAGGGCTGATGACATACATGACGCGCTTGGAGGGAGACGTTTCAGAGAAGGGATGCCAAGGCGAACCGTTTTTTATAATTGAATACTTCCTAGTAATTCGGCGAGCTCTGTTAAACAGAAGTTATTCGATAATCAGATATGAAGCACTCGATCGGTTGTAATGTCTAATGGCCGTTCAATTAATCCGACCCTAGCTGGGCAGTTGGTTCTTCAGTCTCGGCACTTCCATCATCGTCAGTATCAATTTAAGAGTTCCTCTTGTCTTCAACCATATTGACATCATTCTTCTCCGCTATTGAGAAAAGAAGAAGCAGCAACATAACGAATTGCTGCATAAAAGTTGGTGGTGATGCCGAAAAGCCTCGTTGGTGTGGCGCAAGGCTTTTTGTGCCTGGAGCCACAGTAAGCACAGCCGTGATCTGCGCCTCTGCATGTGTTCCACTGATGCCAGGGCAGCAACCAAGGTTCCCTCTGAATTGACAGGTTCGGCTCTGGTTCTGTGATGGAGAATTGAATATTTAATCATTTAACTGATCAAATGATTAAGAATTTTGACGTAACTATACTCAAATTGAGGCTATTGAAATGGCCCATGTTGGTAGTAATTGGTGGGAACTGTAACAGCCCTGTAACACTATCGAACAGCCTGTATTATAGCTGTCTACGGGAATGGCCTCAGCGTCATTAGTTGAAGATTAGATTATCTCCCTCGTCTATCTCCCGATCACGGACGTCAATGCATCGGGAACACGGCACTCAGACCTCCTACGGACTTATGCTCCTCTAGCTATCCATTTACAGCATATTCTGTCTCACCCAAACATTCAGTTGTAGCACTCGCAACCTCTTTCCGAACAGGCCTCCTGCGAGCCATGAGGCGCAGCACCTCTTCCATTCCACACTCTGCTGCAGGTTATTTGTGGCCCGCGGCCTGTTCTGGCGGCCATCTTTTTCCTTCACCACTGCCCTCTGGTGACCTACGTCTTGGGCCTAAGAGGGAGCTGACTTATAAGCTTGCAATTCCCGTATCAACCATCAGTATCATGACAGCCTCGTCAACTATAGCTAAAAGCAGCATCGGAATTCCTCTGATTGCCCCTTTTCCATTTATTGTTGATTGTGATCAAAGCTCAGCGCAATGAACAATAACGTTGCTTCGCCGTTTAACCTTCAAGTTCCGATATCGTCTGCTTCGCCTAGCGGATCGAATAACACAACTACTGGAAGACCGCCATTATGGACGCCTTCATCGCGACGAAAAGTCTCACGACTTTATCTTTATACTACGCTTCCTTTGGAGAAGATTATGGCAGTGGTTCATGCTAAATCTCCCGATACCCCTGCGCCTGGGTACGTGCTTTTCGATATTGTGTTGCGGATATATCCTAATAATTGTATAGTAAAGATTCCGCCCACAAGACACTCAATGCGATGCTCAACAAACAGCCACGATGGCTTCATCCCAAAACAGAAGACGATATGGTGCGGCGACTAGAAGAGCTGGCTCTTTCTCCTACACGCACAAGCTCAACCCATAATTCCGTCGCATCTCCAACTCAAGGTTCTGGACCTATTCCAGCTCTGAACGCTATCCCAACGCCGCATCTTGTTAGAGATCCCGGTACTAGAGTTTCGCTCGAGGTTCCGCCTTTTAACCAATATCCGCAGCAATTTATCCCGAATAATGGAACCGCTGCCCAAAGACAGATCCAACAAAACCAGGAGGACAATAGTACTTTTCGAAACTTCTTACAGCGACCTACATTCATGACTACATCGACGGACTGCACTACTGGAAGTTTACGACAAATACTCAATGACTATTCACATCCGTACGTCAAGACAGTAAAGCGCCTCATAAAACGATATACAGCGCCTCTCAACCGTCGAGGAACCAGTCTATCTCCCATCTCGGATGAAGAGCCAAGTGTGGCATCATGGCTCAACGATCGTGACGCACCAGTTCACTTGCCCATGGGACCTTACTACCTTCCCGGAAACTTCCTCTGCATCGACGAATTTGCCCAATATACATGTTTTCCGCAAGATGAGATTCATCAAAAGTTGGCTTGCTTCTGCCGCCCTATCCACGAGATCGAAGAGCCAGCTTGGATCACAGCACATGGCCCTACTCAAACTGGAACTAATGCATTATCAGCTGCTGTCCATGGTAATTTATTCGAAGAGCGTGATCAATTTGGTCACACGGTGCTTCATCTCATGGCTGCGCGATTCTTGTCGGATTATCTTTTTCAGGCGATTATCTCGGATAAGGCCAACTATATCCTGAATGTGCAGAATACAGCGGGCCAAACACTCCTCCATGTCTTACACACAAACTGGTTTCAACCTCAAAACAAGGAGTTGCTGAAGCAGCTGTTGGATGCGCTCGCTCACAAGGGATTCGACTTCAGTGCGCGCGACTACTATGGACGCTCATTCTCGCATATTCTCTTATTGCGGGACACACCACCTGGGCTACGAAATTATGCACTCGGGCTGTGCAGCGCAACCAGTTATCAGAAGAGAGACGCCTTCAACGTAACGCCTACTTTTTCAGTCATCCCCGAGCCTGGAATGGGTATCAGCAGAGCGAGCACACAGGCTATGGACGTCGACCCTCCGGCACCAATGTCTCGACAAGCTAGCATTGCTGATCCTTGGCACTTTGACGATATCCACCAGGAGACACAACTCCTCAAGTACATCAATGATGCGGAACTCAACCCCCGACTTGAAGACGACCAAGGCCGCAATGGACTCCACTGCCTCGCAGCCGCCACGCTCAGCGAAACGAGCATCACACAAAAGTACTACCTCGACGAGAACGGCGTGCCAATCGACCGAAGACGCAGAAGGGACAAGACCGTTAAGAACTCGGACTCGTGCACCGATAGATTACAATTCCGCCTTGTTCTTCTCCAGAACCTCCTCGATGCAGGCGTCGATCCAAATCACTACGACATCCACGGCAACACACCCCTAATGGCCTTCGTCGCTCAACTTGCTGAAGATGATGACTACAAAATCGGCCCCGATATCATTCGAGAACTAATCGATGCCGGCGCACAAGTCAACGCTCGAAACCGATCAGGCGAAACAGCACTGCACATCGCTGTTCGCTGCGGTCACAAACTCGCTGTTAAACAGCTTGTTGAGAGCGGCGCATGTGTCCATGTTCGCGATGCAGCAGGTAGAAGTGTGCTGGAAGTCGCGGATGTCAAGATGAAGGGTTTAAGAGGTCACGATGATGCAGAGTATGCGCACCTTGAAGCGTGTAGGGCTTGGCTGAGTGGGATTTCGGGAGGAGCGGTGCAAGAGCCGACGGTATTGCAGGAGTGGGAGGTTGTCTCTGATGATGAGAGCTGAGGAGATTGATGGTTATATATGTCTATATGGGGCTTGCACTTTTGGGACGGCGTTGGGATAGAGGCGGATACCCTGGTGTTATATGGCAAAAGAAGGAATAGACTTGCTTTCACCGTACATATAGGGACTTTAGATCTCCTCACACAATGCAAGAAAGAAGTAAAAACAACAATTCGCCGAGTTCCATGTAAGATGCTGGTGACAGTGCGTTCTAGAGCAGGTACTCTGGCTATCATCTGAAGTGAGGGCATACGCCACGACTGGGCATCACGAACTACCCACGAAGGAACTCTTTATCGTGTAAATTCAGTCGTTGAACAGCTCCGATACAGTTGATGAACCCTTGTATGAATGTTATTCGCGGACTTTGCGACCTCAATAATTTCTCCAGATCCTTCAACCTAGGAATGTATGTGCTAGTCTCAAAAGGGATCTATAAACGCATCGCAGCACCTTTGCCCTCATCCTACAGTACGAATATACCCTTGCTCTAAAGTCCGAAAGCGAAGGTTGTCTCAGTCTACCAGCAATATGATTGGCCCTCCTTCGGACTTCTTGGCGAAAAGCGTCAGCATCGGCCCCTCCCACGCTGATGGCTGACGCCAGCCGCGATGAACTGCAACACTGGCACTTCATTTATTGGTATGCATCATACAATATCACGGCATCAATTTCGGACTTTAGAAATGACTCTCATTATAAATATCGTGGGATACTACCACTTGAATAGACTTATCATCATCAACACTTGCAATTCAGAACAAACACTCAAAAAGACACTACAAAACACAACTTGAGCTATCAACTCAATCACCATGTCTCCTCACTCTGCTTCAACCACCACCAACGACCTCGTCAACGAGTATGCCAACATCATCAAGGGCAAAACAATCCTCACGACCGGTGTCACACCCAACAGTCTCGGCGCAACCTTTATCCTAGAAACCGCCTCCAAATCCCCATCCCTTCTCATCCTCGCAGGCCGCAACGCCTCCAAACTCCAAGAGATGTCTGAAGCCATCACCAAGACGAACCCTTCCGTCAAGACCCGCTCTCTTGTGGTAGATCTTGGCTCTTTGGCTTCAGTGCGAAAAGCTGCTGAGGAGGTTAACAGCTGGAGTGATGTGCCTAGCATTGATGTCGTTGTTAACAATGCTGGAGTCATGGCTATTCCATATACCAAGAGTGTGGATGGCTATGAGATGCAGTTTGCTATTTGTCATCTTGGACATTTCCTTTTGACAAACTTGACTATGGATAAGATTCTTGCTTCGGAGTCACCTCGTGTTGTTAACATCTCGAGCAATGGCCACAGTCTTGGTCCTATTCGCTTCGCCGATCCTCACTTCAGTGTAAGTCATCTAGCCTTGCATTTTGTACCATACTAACTTGAAAAAGGACGGCGAGATTTACGACCAATGGAGTGCCTACGGTCAATCCAAGACTGCAAACATGCTCTTCTCTGTATCTTTGGCTCAAAAGTTAGGAAGCCGTGGTCTTGAATCTTACAGTGTTCACCCTGGCCTCATCCTGTCAACTGGTCTCGGCACACATCTAGACTTTGCCAATATGGACGCTGATCTGGGCACTTTCAGTACGTTAACTCACCGTCCTTCCACTACTTCAACTAAAAAATCCCCAGTCAAGTCTCATCGCGCACGAGGCAACTCTGAAGGGTGGGCAGCCATTCCCCCTGTGCCCGTCGAAGTTGGCGCTGCGACACATGCATTCGCTGCTTTCGACCCCAACATCAAAGGTGAGATATTATTTCCAAATGAGTATGAATAAATACTAATACCTAATAGCAAGCAACGGCGCTCATCTCTTGGAGGCGAGGGTTGCTGATCCTTTTGTTGATACTGTCAAGGCTTGGGCGCGAGATGCTGTTGAGGCTGAGAAGTTGTGGAGGCTGAGTGAGGAGCTTGTTGGGCAGAAGTTTGGATATTAATCGCTGTAGTGTGCTTTTCAGCTTGAAGGCAAAAAGGGAGGAGTTGGGTTCAAAATTATAGGTACCTTAGACTACAATTATATGATCGTTATCGCCGCTTAATATGCATTGTTCGCTCCTTATCAACTACCTCATCCTCTACTTTAGCTTGTGATCTACATGTTTCTTCTACCTTGAGATGCCTCTTGAAAGTGGAAGGCTGCAGATAAACTGCTTTAATGCAGAGAATCGCGCAAGTAAGATGTTTCTTTTTCGACCATTTTGCTTACTTCTTCACCCATAATGTCAAGGAGAGTGTCTTCTTCTCAGTGGTTATAATGGCTGTCGTGTCACAAAAAGCCGACCATGGACCTCATGTCGTACGTAGATTGAGATGTGACGTATGACTTCAAGAATGCTGTAATAATACCTTGCTCAAAATTTAAGCTGTTACTTCGATTCAAATAGTAAAACTTTGACACCATAAGCCTTAGCAAGTGAAATAACGAATTGTAGGCAATTAAATCGAATTGAGTTCTCACCTGACAGCTCGATATGACCCGTCAAGGTGCGGTGGCATGCGTTGGTTGGCGCATCTTCCGAAGCATTGAATCATCAAGGTAAATGCGGTGAAGCGCTTCACACAAGCCAAATTATGAGACATGAGATATCGCGGAATATGCCAAAGCATAGCCAATGCTTTTTTGAAACTTCAAGCGATATGTAATAATGATATTTCACAAATTGCAGTCCCTCATCCGCTAAAACTAGCCCAGCCCAGGCAGAGCTGATAGTGCTGCGTTGTGGCGCTGAGCTGCCTGTTTAGCGGCTGAACTTTGCATACTACAGCAGCACCCAGCACCTTCTCCAACCTGACGGGGACTGGCAGACTGGCTGTGACTGCCTGCTTCCCCGCTGATCCCGATTACTCACTGGCCACTGATATGAGGCTTCCGCTACTTCTCCAACTTCACTCCATCATTTTTGTTTCTGCAACACCATCGATACTCTGTATCTTCACTTTCTCTTCACTTCATCCAGCTCCGCCGATCGCTTTTGTTCCGTCGTCTTCGCTCTTTTGGTCGTTCGTCTTTCAAATCTACACCCCTCCTTCATGATCGCGAGATAACGATAAGCTCATGGCCCACGGCTATCATGAGTGCTCTTGACCTTGATCGTGCCCACGATGGCGTCACCAACCAACACCCCCCGGAATCAAAGGATACAGACTCTTCTGCTGAGGCGCCCCTAAAATCAATAGAGACTCCTCTCAAGTTCCAAATACCTGAAGATTGCCGCACCTTCTCGCCTTTTCCTCGCCTGCCGCCAGAGATACGTGCCCAAATATGGCAAGCTACCCTGGAGACTCCCGGCATGCACTTTCTCAAAATCGACACCGACTGGCACCCGGCAACAGGGCTTGGAAAATGGTGGCTCAAAGAGCCGCTATTCCTCCACGCAAGTGTTGAAGATCACGATGAGGAGGTTGATTCTATGGCGCTCGAGGTCAGGAGGGAAGCTCGCCCTACTGCAATGGTGTACGGTACACTGAAGCCTCTCTACCCCACTCCACAAGCCGACATCTCTTATTACACGAATCTCCATCAACAGCTCACCAAACTTTCCGTCACATGCAATGAAGCTGCCGCTGTAGCTAATTCCCTTACAAATCGGTCTACGAATTTCCGCCTTAACACTGGCCGAATCGTAAGTCTCAACTCCTCCTCGGATATCATCTATCTGGAATACGTCCCACCCGAAGTCTACGAAGACAGCATACGCTTCAACAAGGTTCTGAACTGCTCAGGGCTCGATCAAATTCGAAAGATCGCGGTCAGATATTGCCACAAATGGTATGAGCAACAATCGCCCAGGCGATGTCCAAACTGCGGCCTAATCCACAACACTCCTGATAGAGTCAGGTATCCGAAACACTTGTACAGGTTCTTGGCTCAATATCTCCCCAATCTGGAGCAGTTCTTCTTTGTCGATTACCTCATTCTACGCAAATCCGACCTCAATGCTACCACAGATCGCCACGGGTTTCAGAGTAACTTGAAAGGTAAGCGATAGATGACAAGGGCTTGAGACAATACCACTGACCTCATTCAAGCGAAAACCGGCACATGCAGGTTCGAGGGCGGGAACAGAAGCTACTTCGAAGCGGATACGCAAGATTGGACTATCAACTCCCGAGTTCTTCAAGTCAAATCCTGGCTACAAGAGAACTTCGTCAAGTACGCCAAGTCGAGTAGCTTGAGCGCCCACAAGAACCCAGAGCAGGTCGAGTTTGGTGTTCTCGCTTGCGAATGGAATGTTGAACCACCATCAGAGCCAAAGAAGGCACTGGCGACACCGGTCAAGAAAGGAAGAAATAAGAGAGCCAATAGCGAGGAGCACGCCTTATCAAGGACGAACCGACGAGGATCGACGCCGACGGTATCAAGTCCTGTTACCGTTAACCTTCCACTCGACGTGGCGGTCAACTTCCCGTTCGTTTTTGATGCATGTGGCAGCAACAACTTTGAATTCACCTTTTCTATGTCCCTATAATGACTTTGAATGGATTTTATTTGGCTTTTGCGAGGAGTTGAGGCTAAGGATGAGATTTGGGCTACAAGAGCCAGCACTTTGATGCTACAGGAGGACGGCGAAGCACATCAACACCAGAGTGCTCAGCCACGAATTATCGTTACAGAGATTAGATTAACTTAGAGTATAAATTTCCCCGATGAACCGTCACCTTGAATCCGAATTCTACGACTGCGTCTTGCTCCTACGCTACGAAGTTGTTTCTGTAATTCCTCGTATTGCCTGGATTGCAGGGCCAGCTGGAAAATGTTCAGTAAATCCCCATCATGGTGAACTCGTCCAGCATATCCTTTGTTATCCTATTAATCTCCATCAACTTGCTTGGTCGCGCCGTCCACCCATCCTCCACATCTCCAAGCTCAGTATTCAGCATATCCCGATACCGCTGATTGGTCAACAGACCTGTCCAAGCGCTTTGGCTTGACCACGCACTAGGGAGTCCCATGAGAAGATTCATTTGACTCATAATGTGGCGAAACATCTCGGAGAAGAGCACGAATTGGGTTGACGGCTCGATTAGAGGTATGTCGGCAAACGACATCGGAGCGGCATCGATGAGGTCCTGGTGTGGATCTGATATCGAGTTGAATATGATCCTGAGTACGACTTCAAGATGTTTGGTGAGTTGTACGTAGCAAGATATTATTAGAAACATCGTCGGCGAATCGAATACTGGGGGAAGCTCGGGTGTAGTGCTTCCGGATGTTGGTGTCGCTTCACCCGACGAAGAAGCTATCGACTCAGGAGATTCTGTGTTTGCCTCCAAGGACAGCATCATCCTGTTTGTATGTGGCTTGCGACCTTGGCAATACACAGTCCGTGTCCCGAGCTGCCGATGTAGCGTCTTCAGAACAACAAGGTACTCCTGCGCCGCCTTCAAGACCACCTGAATATTCTGATACCCATTCTGCCTCTCCCGATCCTCACACACAAACGTACTCAACCGAAAGTCATTTTCAAGCTGAGACACGAATTCCCAGCCCTGGTGGATATCGACATTAAGTTTCGATAACTTCTCGAATACCTGCATACTAGGCACTATGATCCGTTGCTCAAGCTCAGGCGGATCAAGTTCTGACACAGAAGGCCACGCATCCATAGGAAACGGGAGACTTTCGGGTGTATACCCGCAAAACGGATCAAGATTCCAAGCTGTGTCGTCCAACAGCGCTTGGACAAACTGCATATCTTCAGTGGGTTTATGAAGTACCATGTCCTTCTTGGGCGGTCTGCCGACACGTCGTTGCAGGCCGGCCTGACATGTTAGGCCGAGCCGGGTGCAGCGGGCGCATGAGGGTGAAGAGAGGGATCGTGAGCAGCGCAGTTTCTGGCGACGACAGCGCTCGCATGCTGAGCGAATTTGATTCGGGTGCGTGTGCATTGTTTGTTGGTGATGAGTTTTGAAAATTGGTTTATGAGTGAGACGGAGTAAGCGGGCATCGGAGGGTTATTGTGGGGCGACCGGAGGCTTTTGGGGGGTGGAGATGCGGGAGGGACGGGAGGGATGCGGGGCCGGGGTTTTTAAACTTGAGTTGTGATTTGTTCGATTCATAATTAGATGCCGGTTTTGGATAGTGAGTGTTTGTATGTATCACATTATCCGTCCTTAAAGGGTCTTTACGCAAGGAAGTTGTTGACGTGGCAATGGCGGCATAGAGTTGTTGAGCTGCGAGTCGTTGGTAGAATTGAGTTCTGACGGTTGTTCGAACGTTTGAGTGTATCATTTTCCACCAGTGTAAATGTTCGGAGGCCCGGGCATGAGTCGAAGCGGGTGGAGAACCTGAACCGTGATCTATGAGATTTGGGATCGTCTCAAAGATGAAAATTCTGGACTTGTACTCACTGTTTCACATTATCCGTCACTTCGAATGCAGAATTAGAGTTTGGGGCGTGAGTTGTTCAAACGGATAGAGCCTGGGCTGTGATGTGATAGAGTCAATATCAGATCTGATACCTCCGGGTGCTTGCTTGAATGTACCACAGCTCCCGCCGACACAACACTCCGCCACCACGGCAAGGCATGCCACCTCATCAAACATAACTCTGCATGTAGGACACAAGATGTTTTCTCTTTTCTCTTGACTCATCAAAAATGATGATGTAATGGAGAGCTCGGACTTGTCGCTCAGATATATCATCTCCTCTTCCCAACTTCATTTCTGTTCTTCAATTATTACTCCCCGGGCTTCCCTTGTGGTTGTGCTATCCGACAACATCCACTGGAGTAGCATAACCTTGCTCCGCTCATAACCAAGAAACCTCGCCAATCCACACTAGGATTCTGATGATACGTTGTGGGATATTCGCCGCCTTGCCTTTCGCTTTGCACCTTTTCTGGATAAAAGCTTGGCTCTATTCCGTCAGAGATGCTCAAGACAGACCTAGACTTCTTTACCTTCAGCTTCTTTGCTGCTCGTGGGATTAGAGGTATATTTCCAATATGCCTTAAACAAGTCCCCAAACCCAAACCTTCCATCAACTCAGATGCTTGGCCCCGGAGATTCAGTATTACCTTCTTTCTTCACAATGCGAAGCTGGTAAGAACACAGCACCATGTAGCGACAATGACCCTCGAAGTGAAGCTTTCTCTGCTATTCGGTCATCAGGATATCTGTCCACTGGAAAATGCAGCCGCGCAGTAAGCCATCTTGCCATCCTCAGCTCCCCCTCGCGTCTCGATGCTGAGGGTGTTACATATATCACCGAGGTCAGATATCCTGGGAATTTCATCATCACGCAGCAGGCGCAGCATCACATGGTGATCAACGTGGGATCTTGCATGACACAGTCTGTCAATTTCGCATTGACGGGCGACAGCCTTGGTCGTCCTAACTTCATCAAATGCCCCATCCGGTAGTTGCTACGCACCCGACCCTGCTGAACGAAAGACTCAAATAATAGGGACTACGGAGTCACGCGGACACGCACAGAGAATGGTCTTCCCCAGTGTCGGACTCAGCATTTATTGGTCGGTGACAGATTGGCCAATGCACAGTCACGGCCACACAAAATCTATTCATCATGGCCAACAAGAACGAAAAAGGAAAGAAACGCCAGCCAAGCCAGCAGCAAGGTCGCTCGACGACTCCTGTGCTGCGGGCAGGAACGCAGGGATGACGACTCAACGAACAAATTGCCAGTCACCCACCTGAAGCTGGCAAGATTGAAGATAGTACAGCTGGCGGAAGACAGACCTACTATTTTGCTTCCAAGGCCGTTAGATATGCTACCTAACAGTGCGATAACGCCATGAGAAAGCTTGAGGAGATTGCACAACGATCTACAACCGCATTAAGCCTGTAAGCGCGGCCCCTATCACGATCCAAGTCACTCAACTTGATGATATGCCGCCTTGTACTTCATCAGAAGATATTGGGGGATGATAGATGAGAACCAAAAGCAAGAGTGGGATCATTCCATCGGCATTGCACGAGAGACTGTGAATCAGTGGTAGGAGAAGCGACCAGTACTAGGGGACCGAGCAACTGCAGCACTACGAATGGTTCGCAGAGTCCCCTTTACTCACAACAGCCACAAAGACTGGAGACACCGGAAGCTAGTCAATTCAAGTCTGTCGAAAAAGCCGAAACGATAGGAAGAACTGAAATGTCTCTTCCACTTAACCTACACCTCAACAGCCAATGGCCGAATGATTGGTTTCACAGGTCGTATGCGTATCAACGTCAACTGGCCTGGCTTCAACTCTTCATGTGTTCCTGCTCGCAGACACGCGGTACTGCTCTCGAAATAATGGCTTGCACTTACAATGTACGAGTTGTAGCAAGGAATAATAATGGATTAAAGACCTTTTTTCGGCAGAGCCACCAACCAGTGCCGCGAAGATTCCGCGACATGATGAACTTAGTGGTTCTGTTGGATTCGCTCTAGAGACTAAAAGTACTGAAGTATTTCGTGTTCTAGCTACAAGTTGGATTTAAGGCATAAGTTGGGCGGCTACCAGCTACAAGATCAAGTGGCCGAGTTTCAAGCTTGACGCTGACAATTGGTTACTGAAGGGAGTGCGACAGAAGGAAGCTGAAACCAGCTCGTTGGTATGAGAAAACGGGACTTCAGGGAAAGCCTTGCCCCGACAGAACTTGGAGCCTGGGTGTTAGAAGAAAGAAGATCTCAGCCATTCAACAAGTCCAAACGACAACAAGGAAAAGGCTGATGCTGCGCCTGCTGTCGTCGCGGCGCTCTGACCTCCCGTGGTATCATTGGAAGCCGGATGAGGAACATGCGACGCAGAGTCAGCGTCTGATCGAATACTTAAAGGATGTTGCTCGGGATTTACGAAAATGAGGAGAAGTTTGACTTGGTACCGGAGCCTCGCCTCTCTTCGACCCTTGGACACAGATGGCCAAACGGTGGAAGTAAGACTTCGATAAGCAAATCTACCTTTTCGAGTTTACCGGCGGCGAGTTTTCTGATACTTTTGGCCCTTGGAGACTACAAATTACCAACAAGTCTCAGATGCTGCCCCTCAAGTCTCCTGGCCATTTACACCGCCCTTGACAACTGGGAAATGGTCAGGGGCATAGTGGTACAGGAGTTTAAGCCCATCAATCCCTTCAAGCACAACCAGCCGCGCCTCCTGATGGCCTTAATTCAATGGTTGAAGAAGACTAAGCTGATCATTCAACTCACATGATGGACGCGACAATAGTTCCCCGTCTTACTTGGACCAATTCTCCTGTTCACACCCGGCCTTGACGAAGACCTCTACTCGCCCGGCTTCTCTCTGAACAGAAAGTGGTTCTAGCAGAAAAACCACGGCTGAGAGATCGAATTTATACTGGGATACTTTGATCGTGATTAAGTTCATCAAGGCCGTGGGACAGTGGAGGAAGATAAAGCGCGATGCACACAGCACATGGCCACAACCACGCAAGTCACTTTGTGAACACAGCTACAAGCTCTTTCGAACTCATTTTATGAAGGGCTTGGAGAGTATCACGGTCGACAAGATGTACTCCAGGAGCCCAGACCGCCGCATCTCCTCCTACTACCTTGCCCGCTCCAGATATCGACTTGGATGAGGAGAATGCAGCCCCGCCAATTCAGCACAAGGATCAGCAATATAGGTTTTGCTTGCTAAGACTACCATGCTTTGAGACTGGATGACTCAAGGCCAATCTCATGCCCACCAATACTGGGCATGTAGAGATCAGCCTACGTGTCTTGTGTAACACCGTTGTTGAACTTGACCTACTTCACTACATCAACACAATTGGGAATAACTCAACATATTCTACAATTCCTATCATCGAAACGCCTGATGCTGGAACAGCTCCTGACCAATTGCCCGACATCGCAATCATGAACACGGTATCACAGCAGACATCTCGTTCTGCTTCTGATAGATTCTACGCCAACATCCGGGTGAATACGCCAGGAACTTCTCTCGGATCGGGCCAAGTTGCAACTGAGCACACTGCAATTCGAAGGTGAGGTTTTTATCAGAGCACCAGGAAGAAATGCAACCAAGACAAGTTTAGCATTTCAACCGGATGGTATGCAATGCCTCCTCCCACCATATCATCACTAATATCAACCCAAGCTACACGAGGGGACTCGCATAAACTCTCCTTAGCAAACCCTTACACTCCTGGTGCATCCTGTAAATGAGCCCATCGGTATTGTTTCGATTCATGACTGATGCTTTACTTGTAGGCCCGACTGAGCTGAAGTCTCCGACCTCTCCGCTCATCGAGTTCTCTGACGGCAACTTCAACTTTGAGGCCTCAAACTCCAAGTTCTTCAACGCTAACAAAGGCGTCCGATGAGCTCAATACACAAGAAGTATGATATCGTGGTGCCTGTATTACCTTGTTTGGACACTCCGATGCCTTTTTCTAAGATGATCTTCCAACATTTCGCTCACCCAGACCCCTGGCGAAAATTGATATATTGGGCACCTGCAACCGGTATCCGTGGCCTGCTACGCGGCTTTCCAGTTCGTAGACTGGATGAAGGCCATAATGAGAGCTGATCTCGTGGATGACTGCCATCGGCCGAGCATCAAGATCTTCCTGGCGAATACCGTCGGCGGCACACTCCTCCTAGAGACTAGAAAGCGTACGAGAAGGACCTCAATAAGCATTACCATCGGCGTTCTTGGTGGAATTTCTGCGTCGCTGCTTAAACAAAGTCATACTCCTCTCCTCTGGCGATAGCAAGCATCATTATAGCCCTTACTGCAGTCTACATCTGCTACCGCTCAGTCAACATAGCCGAGTCGCTTGGCGGTCAATTCAAAAGCCCAGGAAAAGAAGGTCGCAGATATGAGAAGGGAGGAATGGGTGCCCCGGTTGCCCGAGAAAGAAACAACGAGATCTTCCTAATAAGGTCAATCTAAATATGCTCGGTGACTACCGCGACCGAGCCATAGTCACTCTAGAAGAGGCCAGTCAGGAATTCGCATCTCAGCGCGACAGGGCATCAGACAACTCTATGGGTAGTCTTCCAGGAAGTTTCAGTGGGTGCTCCCAGTATTGGCGACATAACTAAGTCTCTCCGAGATGCCAGAACGACATACACTTTCTTTCCTTTTCCTACTTCACCAAAAGTCCGACTGCATTCATTTGCAAAAACGTGGGTTCAGTGACCAGTGACAACCTGGTCCGCGCGACAGACGACTTTCTGGAAATATCTAGGACACCCCTCTACGTTTTCAGTATCCCAGCAACACATCATGGGAATCCAGTACAAAATCCGAGCTGAGCGGTGATTTGGGGGTCCAGCTAGAAAAGTTGTTTTGACTATCAAGGACTACAACACCACCTGGACTGTGAGGACCACGAGACCTGTACCTTGTGTGCTGATCCGAAGCACAATACTATGAACTGCACACAGGGGCAGGAAGTAATGGGAGCATCAGGTATCCAAAGCAGGATACCTCGGTGATATTCTGGATGGATCTTCCAATGATGACCTCTAATAACTCATGGTATCAGTCCATGAAGGGGGCTAACTATGAGATTGACGATAACCCCCTTCCTATGAGCGGGAATCGGAGCAAGGGTTCAGGAACCAAATGACACAGTACAGACTACTCTTCAACAGGAGGGCTGCTTCTGGACCTTTGGTTAAAATACCAGGATCCCACGCTCTGTTTGAATGCTTATATTGATGGCAGTTAGCCGGCCACTGCTATCTTATTGGATCGCCTGCATCTCGAGCTCGATCAACAAATCACATCAGCACATTAGGCATTTACTTCGCCCTGGACCATCAAGTTCCCAAAATTGGCGCATCCCAGCTTACAGTCACAGTTTCTGTTGAGGTCCGCCGCCTCTAACATTAACTCTACAAATGTCATCAAAACTTCCGCCAAATCCGCTAAACGAAAGAATGAGATCCACGAAAACAGGAAACAGAAGTAACTACGCCAGCTACTGGTATTCGACTCCAACGATATTCCGGAACTGGTCACTGAAAGGGCTCCGCCACCAGATCCCAGTCGAGAAGAGTAGGCGGAAACAGAATCAGCGGAATAAGACGCTCTTGATGACATGGGGATCGAGAACGAATGCGCCCCAGTCATCTGGAAGCAAACAGCAAATAGCTTGATTTTAGCAGGACTTCCAGCACAAGGGAGTCACTGGGCCTCGGTCATAGAATGAGCAACAAGTTTACCATCACAAGTCTTGCTGTCAAGGATGACCTGATAATGGCAACACCATGGAGTCACATATATGAAGGCAAGCGGACAACGCTACGTCTTTTCCTGGTGAAGTTGTCCCTCTTCGCAAGGCATCAAGTGTGATTCAGGAGTATATCGATGCCTACCCAGCAATTTTTACCAAGCAAATCGCAATATTCGCGGTTATGATCAATACCCCATGGGCATACCATCTTCCTCTCTCTGTCTTTCTTTCTCTTTATTTATCTTAAACAACCTCCTCTATCCATGAGGCAGTTAATACAAGATATTCAATATATACGCAGATAACTCACCCACAACGATGTGCGGCCATAACATCAACAGCTACGCGCAGGGGGACAGCTACGGCACCCAAGCTGGTATTCGACAATGCGGCAGGACAAAGGCCATGGCACCACGGCAGGCGCCTCAATCAGCATCCGATCGATTATACACCAGCCCCTCAGGTGTATACGCCCGGAACTGCTCTCCTACATCAGGCCAAGGTACAACACAGTTAGGTTCATCATCACAGGGAATCGGGCCTCAGGAACCCCCAAGACGATGACTATGGCTCGCTGCCTCTTGATCTCCCCCCGCCATCGCTGACGAATCCGACATGGATCCTCAAGAGATTGAACGAGACCCAGAGATTGAAGCCTGGATCACGCTTGCTCCGCCTAACCACCTGGTATATATAAATACTTAGGACGGGACACTCCAGCCGACTTTTGCCCCAGCAACTCATACAAGAAATCCGACAATTATACACAACGATTTCCACTCACTTCTCGACCACTGACTTCCCACCGACTCCCATTATCGGCCCATATACAATGGGACGACCTCTACCATGCTATACTTCCAGGATGGCCTTTTCTTGAATAAGGAGGCCAGTACATAGGCCAGACAGCAGCTGAATACTGCAGACTTGCAATAATTACGGCATATCATCCAGAAGCCGATAGACTCTCGGAAAGAAGGAATTAAACAGTAAAGGTTACTTTACGCTTTCGCCATATCGAATGCCCCCTCGCCTATTGGATACATATACTTCTGATACCGCAGTGGAATCTCAATAGAGCGTCAATGATGGTACCAAGACAAGCGCTCACGACTTCATCTATGGGAGACTTGGACGCCTATCGACGTGGAGAACGCCCAGAAGAGATTAGACAACGACGGCGCTTCAGGACCCTCATCACCCAGCCAGATACCTCGGATATGAGGCCTTGCAGGAAACTCTTGTTAATCTAGTTGAGAAAGTGCGCCAGCTCATCGAGACATACTGCAAAAGTGCTTGTAACTTGATACTTTGGCCAACAGGGGAGCTAGCCAAGGTCCCATCGATGATGCCAGTGGTGGGACCAAATGGGTGGTCCTTGTGGATGGAGGTAGCGGAGTACAGAGAGTAGGAGCCCAGAAACAAGGAATATATCAGTGTTTGGAGACATTATTGCCACAGTGGATTGGTATTGATGCAGTGTCACATGCATTCGAGGTGTACTTCAATCCAATACTCGCAACACTCGCAGCAACTAATGCGGCCTTTTCGTTTGGAACACAAGACCGACGAAGCGTTTCCCTTTACTCAAGACAGGTTCTCAGAAAATACTCGAACACACCAAAGGGGTAGGCCATTGTTTTCTTTGAAAGTCGAGGCTCTCTTTGATGGTTAGAAAGGGGTCAAGCATGTCTTGCACATATGATGGTTGGGCTACAATCCTTTCTCGGCAATTCGCTATTTCAGGGCTGGACTTGGACGTAATGGGATCATCTAGGAGTCTCATGATCTAATGGCCAATCTCTTGATCTTCTAACTCCTCTGTGTCGACCTGATGATTTGGCGCTGATCGAGGGCTATGAGGACTTGGCATTCAACTCGTGCCGACATCCTCATCTTCACCAAAGCTCGAATGCAAAAGTCATACCAACAATAATAGTCGATCCATATGGTGCCAGGTCATCACCAGAAGCTTATCAAGCCTTCCACCCTCAACTGCACGAGCCGTCTCAAGTAACTAAATACTCAGCATCTGCATGTGATCAGATACTTTGTACCAGGAATCAAGAAGAACTTGTCAGGAAGCCTTTGTGGAGAATAATTCATAGCATCAAATAGAAAACAGTCTAACATTCATATCTCCCTTGCTGATTGTTCTGAACGGAAAGACACTTTGGGCTGGTCTCATTCCAGCCGGTATGGGCTACATGTACTACCATGTACACATAGAATTTAGCCAATGAGAAGGCGCAGTGGCAGAGTGGTCTAATGCGATAGACTAGAAATCTATTCTCCTCGGAGGCGTCTGTTCGAATCAGGCCTGCGTCGATTGGTATTTTTTGGTCTTTTGCCTGTTGTTTTCTTGATCTTTCTTCTTTTGCTAGGTCATGTTGATATCAGCTCAGACCGAATTGCTGCAAATCGAGGTTCGGATGATAATCGATATACATAAGCTTCACCAGCTCCAATAGCTCTTATAATTTCTAGAATTTAAATTCTTATTATTCCAACCAATGCACGTCCAATAATAGGTTTCTCTTTCCGAATAGCCAAAATGCATAATATCCTTGGGCTGGTGGTAAGACGGGGTGGAACATTCGCCGCGTCTCATAGGACGGAGGCTTACTCCTGTTCAAAGCATCCGAACGTAAGCCCACCTCCAGCAATAGGAAATCGGACAAGCTACCGTATATAATTTAGCTTAGTTAACAAAGCTCATTCCACGGAGCATTTGAAGAAAGCGTCAGCAATTAGTTTCCCGTGCGAGTCGTAGTTCATTTCATAAAGCCTCCGATTTTCCCTCCCTGTTACTTCGCGAGTTGAGAGGGTTAATGGATTTCTCTTATAAGTTGGCATTCTTCCTCTAAGGATGTGACGATATTAGCAAGGCAAACAGACTTGTTGTGCAGTGATCATCATGGCTTCCGCAGAAATGAAAGATACTGCCTCACCTTACAAGGTGGAGGCATCTAACCAGACACTCTCATCGCCACCCTCCGTCAACTCGTCAGACCAGACGAAGACAGCCCAAGAAGATGAAGAAGCTCAAACAACAGTGACCAAAAAGACAAAGCCAGCTTTCAATAGAGATTATCGCTTCTGGATGATCATGGTTACTTTAGTCCTGGCAACACTCCTTGCATCTCTCGAAGCAACAGTCGTCATTACTTCTCTTCCAACAATCGTCGAGAGTCTCAATCTTGGAAGTAGTTACATATGGGTTACCAATGTCTTCTTCCTCACCACGTAAGTTCCCACTCCGATTTCGCGACGTGGCTGACATGATACAGAGCTTGTGTCCAACCCCTGTTCGGCCAACTCTGTAACCTCTGGGGACGCAAGAAAGTCATGATGTTCATCTTTGCTACATACACACTCGGAAGTGGTATCGCAGGTGGTGCTAACGGCGGCGCAATGCTCATCGCTGGGCGTGCTATTCAAGGTATCGGTAGTGGTGGAGTCACTATGGTAAACGATGTGATCATCTCTGATCTGGTACCACTTCGATATAGAGGAAACTACATCGCTATACTTCTATTAGTAGCGACTATTGGGTTTGCCGTTGGACCTTTTCTTGGTGGCGTTATTGTTGAGAACACGACTTGGAGATGGGTAAGTAGATCGATGACATCTGCCGACTTATACTGACTTGTTAGGTATTCTACCTCAATCTTCCCATCGGAGGTGTTGCTATCGTCGTCACATACTTCTTCCTAAACCTCCAATACGATCGAACTCAATCGACCATGGATAAACTTCGTCGCATTGACTACATTGGCAACGCTATTCTCATCGCATCAAGCGTCTCGATTCTCATTGCCCTTACTTGGGCAGGTCCCGTTTATCCTTGGTCCGATGCTCGAATCCTAGCTCCCCTGATAATCGGTCTCGTCGGCCTTGTCGGTTTCGTTATATATGAAGCCTCAGGAATTCCCTCGGAACCTGTGATGCCCATTCGCCTATTCCCAGGTCGCACATCATATATCGTGTACATCAACACGTTTCTCAATATGTTGTTAATCCAATGGTGTTACTTCTTCTTACCGTTGTACTTCCAAGCTGTCAAGTTATCAACACCTTCACGGTCAGGAGTGCAAATGCTCCCCGTTGCTCTCATCGCTATCCCAGGGGCAGCGCTCTCTGCGGTAGTTCTCTCAAAATGGGGCAAGTATAAGATGCTTCACGTATCAGGCTTCTTCCTTATGACACTAGGTGTCGGCCTCCTCGGTCTTCTTCACGAAGACAGTCCCCCTGCTGCTTGGATCTTGCTGCAGTTCATTCCAGCTATTGGCTCCGGCTTTCTTCTGAATACCCTTTTGCCTGCTTTTCAGGCAGCTACTGAGGAGGAAGACCAAGCTGCTGCTACAGGAAATTGGACTTTCATGCGTTCTTTCGGCTCTGTGTGGGGTGTAGCCATCGCTGGATCCATATTCAACACGTACACGAAGCGGTATTCGCACATGATTGATAATGAACTGGCGCGAGAAATGCTCAGCTCAGGAGATTCTTACCAGAGTGCGACACGAGCTTTCGTTCTACAATTTGACGAGGTTGTTCAGTCTCAAATTCGACGCGTTTTTATGTTGTCGTTGAGTAAAGTCTATGTTATCTCTGTAGCGTTTGGCGGGCTTGCTTGGGTACTCTCTCTGTTTGAGAAAGATGTTCCTCTGCGAAAAGAATTGGATACACAGTACGGTTTGGATGAGAAGGCACCTGTTGAGCAGAAGAAAGAAGAGGCATTGTAATAATATCTAGTTTGCTTTTTTGTCAAAGCCTGATTGAGGCCTTTTGTATTCTAATTTTTCATCTCCTATTCAAGATCACAAGAATTCTTTAACAGCCTCCCAGAAAGCCTGAGGATTCTCAGCCATAGGAAGATGTCCTGTTTGAGGCACAATCTTCAACTCCGCGCCATTGTCACCAAGTAGTCCCTTGCTCGCATCCATAGCCTTGACAAGAGCACCCTTGGCATCTTCCTCTCCAACAACAAACAAGCCGCGTACTTTGCAGCCACCCATCTGGGGCTTGAGGTCGTAATCCCAAAGGGCTGTGTTGCTGTATTTAAAGCCCTCAACGTCATTGGCAGCGACCATCTCTGTCATCCACTTGACGGTCTCAGCGTTGGTGGAGGGATGGAACCATCGCTGGACTGTTTGTCCGGCGAGCTTCTCAATACCCTTGCCGTTATCCTCCTCGGCTAGAGCTGTGCGATCCTTCCACGCTTGTGTGTTGGCGGCGCTTGATGTAGGGTTGAAGTCGCAAGCAATGAACTGCTGAAGACGCTCAGGGTACTTGATGGCAAAGTTCAGGGTAGTAACACCGCCGAATGAAACACCAACAAGGGTATGCAGCTTGGTGATGCGAAGGGCATCAAGCACTTCTCGAATGTCGTCAGTCAAACGATCCACAGTAGCAGCGACTGGAGGCTGAGGCACGGCATGTCGGCCACGGGTATCATATCGGAGAATTCGGAACTCAGGGCGCTCTCGCTTGAGGATTTCTACGAGGGGATCCCACATATGCAGCGAAGTCAACAGTGAATTGGTGAAAGCGATTGTGGGAGCCTTAGGGTCCGGGTTACCCTCCAATCGGTAGGGAATGACCAGAGAATCTGAAGTTGTGACGAAAGAGTTTATAGCAGCGTTGGGGCCAGGTGTGGTAGATTGCTTGGAGTCGGGGGAGGTGAAAGCAGCTGTCGAAGGCAGCTTTGATAGCGCTTCCAGCTCTCGAGGAGCAGGTCCAAAGACGTAGAAGAGAGAATATGTTCTTCGACCCTTTGAAGCAACGAATTTGTCAAAGACTTTGGTGCGCCATGGGGTGTCCATCGAGGCCTTGTGCTCCTCTCCACCCTGGCCATTCTCTTTAGCATAGTCATGCAGGGCAAGGAACGTCGTCTTGCCCTGTCCCTCAAGATACGAAGTCTTGAAGGCGCGTGAGCGCAACCAACCAGGAACCTTGGCCAACATAGGAATATGCTCCTCAACCAGCCACTTCTGATATTCCTCTGCAGCACCCTCAACGTCCTTAAGTTCGATTGTAACCGCAGTAGTTTGCAGACCCTCGGCCTCTTCGTCAGTCAACTTCTCGAAGGGCACGAACTTGTCAGACTCGTTGGAATGAACCAAGTCCCAGAAATATCGCTTCACGTCAACTTGGCCAATGGTCTCGGCTTCTCGAGGAGATCGGTTCGCACGCAGTGTGAGGTATGTCTCGGTTTCGAGGTGCGGCATGGACGTAACGTCGTAAGCAGCGAGATATGTAGGTTCTTGACCATCCGTCGCCTTATATCGAAGACCGTTGGAGAAGATCTGAGGAAGACGAAGTCGGGTCGGGCCGTGCTCGTTATTATACCACTCATGAAATTGATCTAGAGACAGCCCAGGCTTGGGCTGCATCGTGACGTAGAGGTTACCAGGAGGAGACATGGTGCTGGTTCTTTGAATTGATGGCTGTAATTGAGGAGAGAAGCTCAATGGGAGGTTATCCAGTTGTTATAAATCGCCCTCAGGCCTTCCGGAAGAACGATTTACATGACGGGAGGTGGAGCGGGAGTTTGCGATTCGGCTCGGCAGATGGAATCGGGAACGTAGTGGGATGTACCTCACTGTATGTATAAATGTTTACCCCGCCACTCACCGAAAGGTCACCGTGAATACGGGGGTCCACACCGGGAGCACACCGAGAAGCCATCGCGACCTAGCGGAGTGTGAGCAGCTAACTTAGCATCAAGTCGATCTATTGTGTGAATAAACTGTGAAGATGAGGGCTGGCAGCGCAATATTGTGCCATGTCATTCTAGGGCATTTGTATATAGTCCTCTGCCTGCAGTTGCGATGTTACATTGTCTATGCCGGTGCTGAGCAGTGCTTTGACTTTCTGCACTTTCTTTCATTACGAAGCCATTGATTGTGCTGTGATATATTCGGATTTCTCTTTCCCGCCCTCATTCTCTCGATTTTTCTCTCTCATTCTTTTGTCTGGCACTGTATATTATACCAGGATATATCAGCAGTCGGCCTCCTGCATGAAGCATCCCGCTCATCCAATCTACTGTTTCCATCGGATATCACAATCTGCATCTATCCACATCGAGCGATACTGAGGACTCGATCTCGTACACACCGCCGCCAATCAACTCAGTTGCCCGCCTCTTGAAATATTACAATGTCCATGGGGATGCGCTAAGAAGCCCAGGTGAGAGTCAACCGCCACATGCAGACGTGCCAACCAACAAAACTAATAGCTTTCAGACCTCGCATCCTATATCACGTATATCCGAGTCACATTTGTTGCTGCTCTTCTGTTTCTACTGGTGCGCAAAGTTGTTGAATCACTCAACGCCGGCGGCCTCGTTCGCTCGCAAAACAATGGAGGTCTTCTGTCGAAATGTCCCTCAGGACTTGTCAGAAGAGAGCTTCAAGCAAGAACTCATGCCATTTATGAAAGCTTTGAACATCACGGACTTTTATTGCGAAAAGCCAAAGAGAAGGCCTCAAGCATGGATCAAATTCCTCAACCCCGGCGATGGCTACTCATTTCTTGAAAGACATGGCAAACAACAGCGTCACAACGAATCGCAGAAGGAGAACATAAACCCGAGATATCCTTTCAAGACCAACTTCAGACCAAAGGATACTCCACGCCTCCACATTCTCAAGACAGCTGTGTTTGTTGAGCAGAGTACTCGCGCACTCGACAAGCATTCCATCGCACACCTCAAGCGTGAACGCGATAAGAAGCAACAAAAAGCTGCTGCTGCTGCTGCCGCTGCCGCTGCGGCTACCACCACTAAAGACCGCCAAGCTCCGGTTAAAGCCTTTAGTATCATCGGCATCAGTTGCGGCGGCAACACGTTTCGTGGTCCCCTACAGGTCATCACCTTCGTTGAGCACAACAGTTTGATGCTGCCCAGAGATGTTATTGGCAAGTTCATGCCGCAGTGGTTAACTGTCTATAACAAAGATGGGTATCGTATGGATTTTCACAACGACACTATTCAGGATCTCATTGCTAGTCGCAATGATGCATCCATCACTTTGGTCTTGACTGAACCGCCAAAGATGTACACGCCTCACAAATCTGATAACCCAAATCAGGAGTGGAAACGAGTACAGGGTCTGGTCAATTGGGGACTGATTCGCGAATACTCGGCATCTTGTCTCGTCTACCGCATCTTCTTCGCCTCCATAAACGACATGAACGAGGTCCTCCGTTCTGTGAAACATCGAGATATTCTCGCCATCACCTATCACGATCTCCCATCCGTTCTGTGGTCATACATGGAACCCGAGAGCAACCATTTCCTCGGCCGCCAGCAATTCACAGAGAAGGCTAAGCGCATTCTGGCATCAGGGAATGTTCACTTCGCTCTTCTCTTCCAAGTCCAAGCTCTGGTCTGGAACAACTACATCAACCCTGCGAGCGGCATAGGACTGCTGCAAATTCTCGAAGAGGTTATTAAGGATGCTAAAGAGAATCAAGTTGCTGCTCCCGTCACCACAGATGCTATGAAAGGTCTCCATCAGAAGATACCCTACCCTTGTCCTGGCACGGATCCCGATGAGCTGAACGTCATCACATTGATGACCAGCATCATGAATGAAGAATATGAGGCCAGGGCGGAGAATCCTAAGCGAGACAGAATCTATGGAGTCAAGATTCCAGATCATCAGATATATATCTTCAAGGCTATGGTGACGCCCACGCGTGTTCTTCTCTCTGGTCCCGAGCCCGACAGCAAGAACAGGGTGTTGCGAAAGTATCACGAGAACAATGACTACTTCTTACGCGTCCTCTTCTGCGAAGAAGATGGCCAGGACCTCAACTTTCATCCAAAGGTTGATAACGAACCAATCTTTGCCCGGTTCCGACATGTCATGGATGAGGGGATCACCATTGCCGGCCGGAAGTTTGATTTCCTAGGTTTCTCACATTCATCTCTTCGTTCTCACTCCGCTTGGTTCTCTGCGCCTTTCACCGATTCAAATTTTGAGCGCCAGACTCCTGCAGCTATTTTACAAGCCCTTGGAGACTTCAGCGAGATTCGAGTTCCGGCAAAGTGTGCAGCACGAATCGGCCAAGCTTTCTCGGAAACACCATATGCAATCTCAATTTTTGAGACTGGTATATGTCATCGGTTCATTCCAGACGTCAAGTCTGACGATGGAACACGTGTATTCAGTGACGGTGTCGGAACGATCTCCAGAGAAGCCTTGGAAGAGATTTGGCCCTATCTGTCGATGCGAGCTGCAGCACCAACATGTCTTCAGATCCGGTGGGGTGGCTGTAAGGGAATGCTTTCTCTCGATACCCGACTCAAAGGGAGAGTCTTCTGTATTCGACAAGAGTCAATGATGAAGTTTCCAAGTGACGATCTTAGAGAGCTCGGTATTTGCGACGCTTCATCTAAACCTCTACGGCTGGTCCTCAACCGCCAGATGATCAAGATCTTGGAAGATATGGATACAACCAACGATTGGTTCTTCAGACTGCAGAACAACGCACTTGACATACTGCGCAATGCCACAGCTGACGCGACCAACACGAGCTATTTCTTGGACTACCAGGCCATCGGTGTGAACATGGGGCTGCCCAAGCTGGTCAAGCAGTTGGAGAAGATGGGCATTGACTACCGCCGGGATAAATTCCTCAAGTCAGCGGTTGAACATGTCGTCTTTCGAGAACTGAGATTGCTGAAGCACAAAGCGCGCATTCCTGTTGATCAAGGAGTGACCCTTTTTGGCGT